CTGTCCTTGCCAGGCGTTGTCTCAGAGCTGCAGAGCGACGGGTCCGGGATCGGTTTGTTTCTGTTCTTGTGTTAGATTGACGATGTGATCAGCTCACAGATCAATACTCGGATCAATATTACTCATGATCAGGTCTTTTTTCAGGTACTCCGTTTCTGTTAGTTACTGATTAGAGGACGCTGCAGTAGTGTATTTTACAAACGTCATTTTATTGATTAGATCAGAGGCTGCTGTGAGATGCACCGTGTTTCCTGTCATTGATCAGATTATCTGCCCAGCCGTAGCCCGGTCGTGCACTCGACAGGCTGCAGCCATTGCATTAAGCAACTGGCTGAATGAGGAGTCTTGCATATTAATACGGCAGACACAGCTGGCACTCGAGAGTGAAGTATTGCTAGAGGGTGAGTATTGCACCCACCAGAAATATGCCTTTTATTTATCATATATAGCAACAACATGGCAACGGCCTTTATTAAAAGTTAAAAAAAATAGGTTACTCGCCTCTCGTGAGGAAACGGTGTGTGATAGTGACCAGGGTTGATTTAACAGACGACTGGAAACATCCACGCTGTGGGGTGTTAGTCATTGTCACTTCAGTGGCCGACTGCCTAGGAACATTTAGAGGCATTAAATCAGAACTGATCAGAATCAGTTTGATCAGATATGGTCATAAACACAGTGCCGTTAAACTTGAAAGACATTCATATTGGACATTGCCTGTGTTTTCACTGTTTTAACATCACTGAGCCTTAAGCTGCCGCAGACTGTCTGCAAGCGAAACGGAACATTTGGAAGTTAAAATCTTCTAGATTTTGTTGTTTCTGGCTGGTTTCACTGTTTCTATTGATAGAAAACTCTCTGAACAGGTAGATTTTCGCAGTAAAGTTTCCTCCTGACCCTGTCCAAAGCTCTGATTGGATTGTTTTTATAGCCGTGCTCTAAAGTTGATTTGTTTTTTCAGTTTGCCAATTGACTGTTTGTGTGTTAATGCTCTGACTTGGATTACCCCCCTCCCCCCTGTCACCTGTCGGTCTGCAGCTCACGGTGCCATTTGGCTCCCCCCGGTCTCTGGTCTGTGTAAATAGAGGTGAACCAGTCTCTGTAGGTTTTTGTCGTCTTGTTTAATTCCCGGTGTTGACTTTGGAAACACAAAGCCGCAGCGGACATTCATCCTCCCAGTTAATTTTATTTTTTTATTCCTGTCTTCTGATCGTGTTGCTGTAACCAGAGTGTTTTTGAATAAAATCAACTGAACTCTTCACGTTTCCTCTTTCAATCAAGATCTGCTGGACCCTGTAGAAAACACACAGCAGTACTTTAGTCTGTACCAATGAACAAGAGTGGAACATGTCTTTGCTGATGTCCTCAAATGTGTTGCTTGGTACAAACAGTCGAGTTTATTGTGATGGAAAATTAGGCACGTTCGGAGAAGCACATCAAAAAAATGGCTTAACATTTTATATAGAATGGAGAGTAAACACAAATGTCAAAATGTTGTTTCAGTACGAAGGATCAGTCAAAGGACTGTGGTCTAAACCGGATGACGTTCTTCTGTGAGACTTGATCTGACAGTTGTTTAAAACTAGCTGTCAATGAAGTTTGTTATTCTAAAATGACATTCTGCTGGAAGCTGGTGTCGTCAGTTTATGGAGGCAGAAAGGAAAGCGATTGCAACCAGAGCATGAGAGCAGGTTTACTGATTAAATTGCTGCAGATTAATTTCAGCTCCAATTTTTATAGTTCAAATTATCTGATGCAAATGTTTAGGCTGTAGGATCTGAAATCAGTTTTTATTAGTTTATTTTGGTAAAGTGAATAAGCAAGCGGAGAGGAGTTATCAGCAGGAGGATTCTCAAGCAGGTTCTAGAGGGACATCGGCGACAAGACTGCTCGGCGGCAAGTGGAAGTCGCACTGCGCCAAACCACAAGTATATCCAAGTAAGGTTCCAGTAAAGACCTGTGATCACATGTAATAATGGTCATTTATATACAACAGGGAACAACAAAAATTAGCAGCTCTTTGGGAGTAAAAAGACCATTTTGAGATGGATTTTCTTGAAAGAATACAAATTACAGGAGCAACTGATAAATTTATTTAAACAAAAAACTTTTACTTTTGGAAGCTAAAACAAGTTTGGCTTTAAGTGTTGAGCTGCTATGAGCTCTATTCTCTTTTAAATGTGAAATGTTTCCTCTGGCACAGTTCCCATTGTCACCATGTGGTGGCGCTGCAGACCTATGCATGAAAATGATAATTTTTTTTCTGTCTTTCTAAAGCAAAGGTTTCTTTTTAATGTTAGCGGTGTTGTATTTTCTCTTCAATGTTACCTCAGTGTTTTTGTGTCTTTAAAATGTTTGATTTATTTGAACAGATGCAAACTTGTATATTTTATTTAATATAATATGACAGAATATTTCTTAATAAATTAAAAATGTAAAGTACATTCAACAAATTAAAAAAAAACAGTTTTGAACTTATTTTGAGTCAAATGTTTCTAAATGGAGCGTGTGAACTGCAGAACCCAGTAGTCTGTAATTAGTCTTTATAAATGTATTTCTGATTGAAATAATATCTTCAGCTCTTAAACTGACACTGAGCTGCAGCCTCTTCCACTGCTGATCCTGATGACCTCTGACCCCTGAGGAGGAGATGGATGGAACAGCTTCACCACTCTGAAGGTCAGAGGTCATGTGACATGAGTGTGATGTTTTCATGCATTAACTATCTCAGTTGAACAGAATCTGATCCTCATCAGCCACATGATATACGGGTGGGGGGGTGGGTCTTTTTGTCCTTATAGGGGCCTACAGGACTGTGTGGGATGCGTGTGCTGGTTTTGCTGCCTACTAGCTGACATAATGTACCCCATAGCCTCTTACCTTATGTCTAAACCTGGTTCTAACCCGAACCTTAAAATAAAATCGGAAATCCCTCAAACAGCCTTTAGAAGATGTTAGGACAACACGTCCTCAGGGTGCAGAAATGTCCTCACAGCCATAGTATTCAGCTAAAATGTGACTACACTGTATATGTTTGGTAGTCATTTTATTAGGAACATGTGTCAAACTACAGTAAGTCTAATCAACAGTCCTGCAGTAAATTGTTTTTCATGTAGGTGATGATGTTCAGTTTGTGCTCAGACTGTTTCACAGATCACCTGTCTCTCAGGTGTGTGTGTGTGAGTATGTAAATAGTTTGGTTTTCTTTTAATGAGCAGAGACTCGCTTGACAAACAAAGAAGCTGCAGACAGACAGACTCAGTAATCAACCAGGTGTCAAAGCTCGCCTCCTCCCCCCGACCCCAGGTGTGACTGAGGTCAGGGGTTAGACTAGGATGTTGTCAAGGAAACAGCAGGAGTAAAGTAGGAGGTTAGTTTGCATGAGAGCTGTCCGGATGGACAGACTGTACAACAGATTGGTGCCTAACTACATTTACGTTCTGTGCAACACACTCGTGGTCTCACTTTACTGGAATATCTTTATCACCTCTAAGTTTCACCTGCACCAAAAAACAATGCTGAAGCCAACAACAGAGCAGCTTCAGACATACAGTATGTCCATCAGACTTTAATCCAGGAACAACCCAGCGCTGCACCGAACAATCATTTTCATTTCCCGTTCATCTGCAGATTTTCTCCTTTTGTTTTGTCTAAAAAATAGCAAAAACAATTGCCCATTTTCCCGCATCCTAGAGTGAAGTCTCCCAAAGTTATAAATATTGACTATAAATTTTTACATTCCGGGGCTGGAAGTTAATTGGTCAAATCAGTCTGGGCCAACAGACGTCAACATCAATAGAGTCACAGCTAAAACTGAACTGACACATCTGTGAGGTGTTTTTAAAACACTGGCGTCTTCAGTACCAGAACCAGAACCAGTGAGCTCAGAGGCACAGACAGAAAACCAGGACTGTAGTTGGTTTGGGCCTGAACATGACAAAAATCACAGCTCAGAACTGTTTCTGGAACAGTTTCAGTAAATATCACTTGGAAGTACTGCGTTAGCTTGTATTACCTTACCAGTCTTAGTATATCCTACTATAATGAAGCAGTGATTGTACTCATCTTGGAGCTGAGTAGACTGAAGACAGCACCTCCATCAGCACCAGCCGATGGCTGATTCTCTCATGTTGTTTGGACAAGGTATGTCTAAAGGCAGGGTCCAGGTGTGTGGACAAGCAGAGGTATATACAGTCGGACAGAGGAGTTTCACTGTCAGGGGACAAACATGTACCTGTTTGGCCGCTGACCACAATGAAGCCGGCGCCATCCCCCCCCAGTTTCCAGTGAATTTTGTCATCCCGTTTGTCTGAACTGTAAATCTGTTATGATTTAGTCTGTGCACATGCCGTCTTACTTTTTTCCCCAAGGTAAAGTTTTGTTTTGTTTTGCTTTTTTAACAGATTTTTTTCTTTCTGCAGGTGTGAACTGAAGGTGTCAGTCGTTGCCTAGCAACAAGCAGTCACACACTAATTAAAGCCTGAAGGATTCCTCGTTGACAGTTTAATGAAGCAGCAGTGATCCAGGTTCAACTTGATTTTATTTTAGCACATGAGCTGGACTACATCTCCCATCATCCCCTCTGGGTTTAAGGCCTCAGCAGCTACTAGGAGACAGAACAGAAACATTACCAGGGAAGATGAAACGAACACGTGAATGTGTTTTGACAGTAAGAGAATTAAAGGAATAATCCACTGTTTCAGTCAAACACAAAAAATCCATCACCTTCATTAATATCAAAGGTGCGTTAACTAAGATTTCCACATTGTCTGATAAATCAAGTGAAAATGGGACAGCCTCAACAAACGGCTCCACAGGCTGAGCACAGCCGTCACTCAGTACAGTGCCTTAAGGAAGGAGTCGTCACTGGTCTTTGCTCCTCACGCTGCACAGAACAACATGTTGGAGCTGGTTGTTGGAAACAGATGGCCTCCCATGTTTCCTGAGTAGGAAACGCGCGGCATAGAATGATAAGCTGGACCAGGGTCTGGACTCAAACATTACGGTGAGGACACCACATTCACTGGTGCAGCTGGTCTCTGGATGGGGTTTGTGCACAGTAACACACAGAGAAAATCACCAGCTACATCCTTGACTTAAATATCAGCAGGAGGACATTTTGGTTAATAAAGGCACTACAAAAAAACAGCACGTTATTTAATTTACAAAAGTACTTTGAGAAGCTTCTGCTGTTCAGAAACACTGTTGTGGCCAAAATTTTGGTTCATTCCTTTGTCTCACTGTTTTTAATTACAAACTCAAATGTTTATTTTCTGGCCAAGTTCTTGGTATTGGTGAGTCTGCAATGAAAGTGTTTCAACCAGTAAAAGCTTTTTTTTGTCCCTTCACACTGCCATTGGTGTGATGTCACTTCTTATTGCTACACAGAAGAGGAACCAGTTCAACCAGTAGAAAACTATCTCGTTTAAAAAATAAAAAAAAAACCAAAAAACTCTTGACTGTATGAAACATAGTCGAGTCTTCAGATGTTTCAGTGAAAATGATTCCTGCCACATCAAGTTTATCATGAATCATAAGTGTCGCTGTTTATTTTTCCACCAAAGATTCTTTCTCCAGTTACACCAGGTTTTCATCTTAAGCAAGCTTGATGAATTTAAAATGATTTTCACGATTGATCCTCGGTCCATGACTGTTCCTCTCAGCAGGATCAGGACCTGATGATCAAAAAACTACAAAAAACAATGAAATGTTATGAGTTATAAAAAAGAAATTGCTCAGAGAAACTCATTATTTTGTATCTTCAAGTCAAAATGGCTTTGTTAGTACATCCTGATCTACAGAAACCATGAGTGAAGACTGAAGGCTCCTGTGTTCTAGTCCAGTCCTTGTCAAACATTTACACCTGAGTTTCCAGCTGAGTCTGTTGGTGCGTCATAGCCTCCAGCGTGTCTCAGAACACATTCACAATGAAGAAGAAACGTAAAGACCGGATGGTCGGGGTGCATAGCATGTTTGTCCTCATCTGGGGCCTGACATCGCACCGGAGACAAAGTGGATCTGTGACTTCCAGGATGGACGAGTATATTTCAAACAGAACCTGAACAAAACAAAAGCGCAAATGGCCTGAATGGACCTGGGCCCCAGAAACAATCCATAGAAAATGGGACTTGATTCTTTTCACATCATTTCACTGTGCTGGGCTTGTCTTTTTCAGAATCCTCCTCCACCTTTGTGGCATTCAGGAAGTCCTCCCTCCTCTGTACCCTGTATTCGTACCGTCAGCAGTTCCTCCTCCAGTCCAGTGCCCAGCTGCAGAAAAACATTCTTGATTTGGTTTCTCACATCTCCAACATGCGAGTAAGACAAACCATGATGTAAACAGACAGAAACAGCAGATGAGATCAAGTGACTGCAGATTCTCCTCATCTATAAACTCTCCTCTTGGCACATTTTCATTCATTTTGATGAGAAATTAACTTTCTGTAATGGTACCTTGAGTGGCTGCTGGTGTTTTTGTTACTGAGGATGTCTGTGCAGCCACGAATAGATGTTTCTGGACTTCTTGGAGCCTGGGCATGACTAAGATAAAATGTTTGCTACACATACACTTTTTAGAGGAAGATATTTATCTAAGATGTTTCATGCACCCAAGCACTGAGCTGTCTCAGTTTACAGGACAGGTCAGGTCCTTTTTCATAGCTGAGACTCAAAACCTGAAGTTTTCTAAATAATTTAAAAGTGGTTTGACCATTTTGCAGCAGCGTTGAAGTCCAGCAAACAGAAGCAGATGTTGCCTTCAGCTTTACCTGGACCAGATTGGTGTGAACCCTTTTGCACCAGAGTCCATACCCTCCAGCTCATATTAGGCTCTTGCGGTCTGGCTTTGGTTTGATGCTGTTGGAGGGGGTGATGGTGGAAGAGGCGTCCACTTGTTGGTACAAGGCCCTCAGCTCCTTCACTTCCTCCAACACCTCCAGGGCCTGGCTCCAGGCCACCGCCGCCTCCTTCAGGAGTCTCTCTGCTTCAACTTGTGCTGCTTCAGCCGACTCCTTCCCCTTTGTCTTTCCGTGCTCACCAGCGTCTGCCTCCGCCTTCATCCGCACCTCTATCAGCAGCTGCTCTGTCTTCTGCAGCTTCTGGCTGATCAGCTCCTGCAGCTGGCCGATGGGTACCGTGGTGTTGGTCGGTCCAAGCGAGCGACACGTCACTGCCGTCTTGTTCTGAGCAGCTTTGGTCTTTGAGTGGGACAGGATCTCCTCCATTGAGGCGCAGCGGTTTTTCTCTGATGTTGTCAAGCGTTTTCTGGGCTGGGGGGTTTGTGCAGGGCTCGCCTGCTCCCACACCACCGCCACTTCACGAGGAAGGCTCTGGGATTTCCCAGAAGCCTCTGCAGTCCTGGCGGAGACAGTACTGTCAGTTTTGGACCTGGCACAGTCTGGAATGACGTGGAACAATGATTTGTCCAAGTCGGCCCTGAAACTGTCACAGCCATCGACTCCCTGAGGCGGATCCTCCTGGATAAGATCCAGAGTCAGCATCCCATCTGAAGAGGAGGTGGAGGCCTGAAAAAAAAGAGAGGAGGAGGGTTGTCAGTCCTCTTTGCAAAGTCTATGTGACATCTTCAAATGGCTTATATTGTTTGGACAAAAGACCAAATATGTGAGAGAGATGGAATTGGAGAATAGTTTTTAAATTTTTATTTTAAAATGTCTGAAATGATTATTCTAAAAATATCTGCCAATAATTTTTCAGATAATTGATCATTCAAGTTCTTGTTTCAGCTCTAGCTAACACTGGACTTTATAATTAGCTTCAATACGCCTTATCACTTTTACGCCGATGACACTCAGGTGTACGTGTCATATTTGTAAAATGTTTAGATTCAAATGTACTTAATGTTTTGTCTTGAAACATCCAATAATTATCTGACTACTGTTATGTTGCAGCAAAATGCATTTGCAAATATCTCAAAATAATGGGCATTTTATGATGAAAGGCCTTCCCGCACAGGAAGAAGGAGGCGATGAGGAGGATCATACTGACCACAGCCAGCAGGTGACCTCTGGTTGGGAGTCGGCGGTTGTGAGGAATCTTCACCCGATCTCGAGTCAGATGAGACAGCTGAGAGTCTTTTACTATCACCTGAAATCATCAACATGAACCTCAGGTGAGACAAAATGTGGTTTCACTGTTTAACAAGCAAAAATATACTGAAGCTGTGATCTGTAATAAGTGATTCAAAGAATAAGGGCTGAGGATCGACCTTTGGTGAACTCCACCTGAACTGAACCGAGCTGTAGATTCTCTTTGATCACAGCAGCGTCTGGTGAACCTATGGGTAAACCTCCAAGTTCTCTCTAGACAAAATGATCTTAATTCAGTGCACACTTGCTATTGTGTTCATATTTTTAAGTAAATCTCAGTTGGTTCCATTTCTCAGGGAGCTTTATGTCATGTTATCTTGTCGTTAGGTCATAGTTAACTTGCTTTAGATAGTTGCATTTTTGTTGTTGGCTTGTTTCCCTAATTATCTCATTTCAATGAACATTCCCTTGTCTGCATTGTTTACTGCTATTTATACTGCTTTTTCTGCATTGTTTGCACTGGCTATTGCTGTTAATACTGATATTTTGTTATATTACACAACCTTATGCTGGTCTACTGTTTGCACATTGAGAGCCGATGTACCTGAGTCAAATTCCTCGTGTGTCCAACACACCTGGCAAATAAACTGATTCTGATTTCAGCTTGCTGTTAACTCCCACATTATAGGAATGGTTCTTTGCCATTAGCTTTATGTTTTTTAAAACATAAAGCTCCTTAATGTATTTGTTTGGCATCAGCATGCTTAACATACCACTGACTTATAAGAATGTTTCATTATCAGCTTACATTAAATTTCAGCCTGGATGTGAGACAGAGAGAGTATTGATCAGAGTATTGACTAATGGAAAAGGCGAAGGTTGTCAATGGACTGTTAACTGGCTGTTGCATTAGCAGGCAGTGGCTCTGACAGACTTCCTGCTGCTGTACCTTAAACATGACTAACACCACAGTCACAGGAAGTCATGTTTTCTAAAATCATACATGCGCATACCACAAATATAACATAACATCACAGTGTAAAGTCTGTGGGCCACACTGGGGGAACACTAATGAGCAGATGGAGTGGGACAGAACCTAGAAAGCAGGTTTGATTCATGCACCAGGTAAACAGTCCCGGGACTGGGTGCCATCTTTGATTCCAGGATCCGGTTCCTCTAATACATCCATTGTCTGCACATGAGACTAGAGAATAACACCAGACTGATTCTTTAAGAACCCAGACAGCTTCTCTTCCTGTGGTCAACTAATGGAGTCCATGCAGAGACAATAATGGACTCTTTGTGTATCACCATACCTCATCCAGTATTCTGTTTTTGGCTCGGGTGATGGCGACATTCAGGACGTTCATCCAGGACTCCTTCTCCTCCGGACTGACAGCCAGGAAGACCAGGTTAGGAACCTGAAGCACATAAAGACACACATTTACATGATTTGTTTGTCGCTGTGCTTTATTCAGTATCTTCTGCTTTTTTGTGTTGATAATGATACAGTGTGTCACTGACTGCGACTGAACTGAACCCATTAATAAGTTAGAAGGTTAACGTCTGCACAAGTATAAATGCAACAGCTGTGCAACCGTCTCTGAACGACACATGTTCCCATATGTGCAGCGATGCACAAGTCTAAATTCAGCTGTAGATTATAAGGCTACACATTACCTACGCTGTAGGTACAGCCTAGATTTAATGCAGAACCATAAATCAAGCCTTAGTAAGTTGTGCATACACACCACTCACATCAAGTGACGTCGAACACAGTAGAGGCTGAAACCCACCATCAAGTCCTTTAAGTAGTAGGCTACTAACTTTAGCCCAAAAATGAGCTGGGACTAGCAGGCGAGTGAAGGAGCTGAGCTGTGCATGAAGTCCAGCAAAGACATCACCAAAAAGCAGAAATTCTTCTTCAGAACAAAACAGGCTACAAATATGTACATCATGTACACAAACGGCAAAGCCTGCGCACAATTCATACATCAATTGAGATATAATAACCTAATCTTCATCATCATCAGTGTCATCACTGACATCATGTTGGCTGCCAGGCTACAGAGCACTACAGTGACTGTACAGAAAAAGAGCTGGAAACTTGTTCCAGAAGTGATTTTCCCATTTATTGTGCTCCATAAGTCTCCCTCTGTTTGAATTTCGTTATAAATACAGGCTATGTGCATCGGATTGTTGGGGTATTTAAAATAACTGTCAAAAATACAGATCCTTTAGCATTATGTTGTGAAACAGAGGTGGTGCCACCATCTAAGAGGCTTTGTGAGACCAACTCCACCAGTATGAAGTGTTAGTCTGCATTAAGTTTGAGCTGTTAGATGTGGCTTAAAATCGATTATGCATTTTACTGAGTTTCTGATAGCATGAAAGGCATGAAAGCTTTTTTTTATTTAACAGCTAAGGGTTAGTATATAGCATACAAATGTACAATTAATAATCAGAGGAGGTTTGTGAACATTTCAGTTAAATAAATATGTGATATAACATAACATTGTCACATCATCAGAATTTTGTATGAATTGACTTGACTTGCTTCATTCTCACCACAGTAAGCTGGGAATTGCACATGTGTGACTTACTCTCGCCTCTGCCACATTTATATGCATTGTTTTACACACAGTTTAGCCATCGGTACTGTAAAATGTCAGTCTCAAAACAAAGGCCGTTTACCCGCAGCCGACCTGTCACATGACATCTTCTCCAGCACTCATTTACGTCCAACTCGGCACTGAAACTCCAGTCTTTCCTTTACTCTGTTCTACCTTCAACAAAACTACACACATCCTGATGTTTTTTTCACAGTAAGCATAGTTCAGGTGACGTAGAACAGCTGACCTGGAAATGAACATCATTCTGATTTTAACAGGCCAACAGGTGAATGTGAGACAGGTGTGTGTAGATGGGTGTAGAACAGACTGACAGACAGGTGTGTGACTACACAGGCATACCGTGCTTCCCGGTGTGCTGCAGCGCAGCAGTCTAAACTTGCTGTGGTTCTTTTTGCTGCGACTCTTGTTCTTCCTCACTTCCTCACAGCGCTCATAGTCTGTCAGGTCCAACGCCTCATCAGCCCGACCCAGCTCTTTCACCTGTAACACGGGTAATGGGTCAGGGGTCAGCTCACTAACAGGACAGATGAGACAGGTGTCCATTGAGGACCATGTTATCCTAACACACAGATGTCTCACTTTACAGGCCAAGAATTTGCCTGACCTGTCCCAAATAATTTCTGGTCCTCTGTGGATTTGATCACTTAGTGTCACTTTATGAAAATATTCTTGAGCTTTCTATCCATGTTCTAAAATATCTCAGTGCAACTCAAGGTTCACTTACTAGCTTTTCCAGAGCTTTCAACTGTATTTTGTGGTCTTCATCAGGACTGTTGAAGTGAACATTAACATTAAACATAATGACATTAATCATTCAACAGCTCCGGCTCCCTAAGACTCCTGGGAGATGCAGCTGTTGTAAAAATAATTATTGTTGTTGTTGGTTTATCTGTTAAAGGAACAATTCAACAGAAGTCCCCTTCTTCTCTTTCTCCTTGACAGATTGACACCACTCACATTTGTATGCTAAATATGAAGCTACATCCTGCAGCTTGTTAGCTTAGCTTAGCATAAAGTCTGCAAACAGGGAAACAGCTAGCATGTTCTTACACTTGTTTTTTTTGTACAGATTAAACGAGATGTAATACGGTAATCAGTGAGCCTTGGACAGAGCCGGGCTAGCTGTTTCCCTGTTTCCAGTCTGTATGCTAAGCTAAGCTAATAGTAACATGTCCTGACTCGCCTTTTACAACATTTTCTCGTGAAGTATCAAATCAAAATGCAAATGCATTCAAAGACAGCAGAATAAGACTCCAGAACAGACATGGAAATGTCCTTTCAGTAGATTTAAATTATTATATTTACACACAGACTCTGGTTCATCAGACTGTGCAGGTTCCCAAAGGCTGAGGCAGGTTAAACCTGATACAGGTGGCAATACTCACCTGCTGTACCATTTAGTTTTCCCTGAAGCACCAAACACATGATCAGAATTTCAGCCAAATACAGAACTTTACTGATAAAACGGTGATTATCTGCTGAAGTGAATCCTGCAGAGCATGTGTCAGTCTTGTTCTCGCAGCACTGATCCTCAGACTGGGCCAATAAACACCCTACTCTGGTCACTGCTCTGTGCTTGGTCTCTGTCCTGCTCTGTTCCCACCGGCTGCAGGACTTCTCTGACACAGAGCAGCCACAGCCTGAGACCTGGTTCCTGGGGACTCCAGCTCAGAACTGACTGACATGTCTGTAGCATGGAGTCCTCACAACCACTAACTAGTACCATTCACTGATAAACTAATTGATAACCAGTGAATCCTTAATGAGCCGCTGCTACATTTAACTCTGTATCACACACTGCAGGTGTGAGCATGTCTCTGCTGCAGGTGAACCCAGCTCACTAATCTCCATGGAAACAGCATCCATTATTAACCTGCTTTAAACTGACACTTCCTGGGAGACAGGCCACGCCCACCACACACACATTTGTCTTTCTATCTTTGTAAGGACCCTCACTGACATGATACATCCACTAGCTCTAAACTGAGTCTAACCCGAACCTTAAAACCAGGTCTGAATTCTGAAACGGCCGACATGTCTAAAAGGCCATCAAAGGGCATCCTTCCTCATTCTGTGTTGTTTACTCTGTCAGTGAGTAAAGTAACACCTGCACACAGACATAAGATGTATTTAAAAAGACAGAAGGGTCACAATCTGCCTCCTTTTTCCTGCCATTCAATGTGTTATACCTGTTTTACCACAGCTTTACACTGACACTAGGTGTTGTTGCAAACGGTACTGTGTTTGTGACCGCTACCCTGCGCTGGGGCTACACAGGAAACAGTTTAACCTCTGTCTCTGTTGGTAAGCCTGTCTGTGTGTGTTGGTAAGCCGCAGTAATCCTGGGGCAGCGTCAGTGTCACGCATGACGATGATGTGTAGACAAACATCTATCTGCATGTGCGTAGTTTGTGCATCTGCTGTGTCTTTGACCTTTGATGTAATCATGTTTTAAACAAATTGGAAGTGACTGATGAATAATTTTGGCTGTGAAATTCCCAGAGTGACAGTCAAACCTAAGATCTGATACAAACTACGGTAGCTCCAAAGCCTCATGTCTGAGAAGCTGGAACATCAGATATTCAAACTTTGAATCAGTTTTTGCTCAGTCAGTAAACAAGTCCCTTTTATTTACAAAACCTAAAATCAGAGCCAGTTTATTTTTAATTAACTCTGTTGGCTTTAATGATTTAAATGTATTTGCATCAAACCTCATTTTAATTTCAACTGTTGCATTCTCAGCATGTTCACATGATAAAAGCTGCTGGTTTTTCCTCCACGTCTTTTTAAAGTCTCACCTCAGATTCGGCAGCAAATGTACCTCATGTTTCTGCTGTTTGTTTTCCCCACAGGACGGAAAAGGTCAGAGGACACTGCAGCCTGTTTCTGTACACCTGGTTTTAGGGTTCAGGTTAGAACCAGGTTTAGACACTTAGTTGTGAAGGGCAGAGTAAAGGGCAAAGGGATGCAGTGTGTCAGTGAAAATCCTCACAAAGTTTTGATAAATGTGGTTTCTACTTTTAGTCAAACAGGAAGTTAAGCTGCTGACAGCGGAAGTTTGATGCAAAACGAAAACTTGGCCACAGCAATGGACTGAACATCGACCATAGTGAGGACACTGGAGAGTAAAAGATGTCCTTATTTGGTGCTGACACGATTGTCATGAAGTTGGTCATGTGACAGACAGAGAGGAACTGAGGGACATTAAAGATTTTTTTTAAAATTCTTTACTGACCTAACTGCCATATTTAACCAGTGTATCACATACATATTATCGCATGTGATATATATACAGTATATATTAAAAGAAAGTGGGATAAGTTTTTTTCACATCTATTCTAGAAACAGCTTGCAGTTAGCAGCTTCTTTCACTTCAGTAAAAACCAACTTTTTAGAGATGTGGCACTTTTGTCACCACCAGAAACACTTCCCGTTTCAGAACAAAAGCCTAGTCTACAAAATGTGTCCAGATAACTGTGTCAGCCATCAGGTCTCCTCAGTCCTTCACAGCAAAGACCGTCTGGTCTTCAGCATCAAGATCAAAGATTGTTATTGTCAATTCACTATATGTGCAGGACATACAGAAAAAAACGAAATACTGTTTCTCTCTCACCTACTGTTGAATGCCATTACCATTTAAGAAACTAAAATTGAATAAAAGTAGAATAAACACAGAATAAACAGAATATGAAAACTGAATTCAAGTAATCAGGATAAACTAGATGGTACAACCTAATAGGCTATGAAGAAACTCAAAGCCATGTGCAAACAGTGACAGTAGTGCAAATAATAACAAGAAGATTGTCAGGTGGTCAGCATCACCAGGGGCGTTGATGGGATGGGATGAATAATAGCTTATGAAATGTACATGGACAGTAGTGCAAATGACCAACAGCAGCAGATATGATGGTAAAAAACAGTCAGCAGCAGATTTACCTGTAATATAACAAAAAGGGAAAATGTACTGAGTTTGTGCAAACTGCAGGGGTGGTCTTTTTATGTTCTGTATTGGGTTACGGTCCAGGGGCAGAGGGGGGGAGATAATGGACAGCGTTCAGCATCCTCACAGCCTGGTGGATGAAGCTGTCTGTAAGTCTGGTGGAGTGGGCCTGGAGACTCCGATACCTTCTCCCTGAAGGCAGGAGTCTGAAGTGGGAGTGCGCAGGGTGGGAGGTGTCATCAGCAATGCTGATGGCTCTGTGGGTGAGGCGGGTGTTGAAGATGTCTGTAAGGGAAGGCAGAGGGACGCTGATGATCTTGCTGCCTGTTTTCACTATGCGTTGCAGGGTCCTTCAGCAGAAGGCAGTACAGGCTCCGTACCACACAGTGATGCAGCCAGTGATGACCCTCTCAATGGTGCCCCAGTAGAAGGAGCACATGATGGGGGGTGGGACACTGGCTCTCCTCAGTCTGTAAAGGAAGTAGAGGCGTGTTTGAGCTTTTTTGGCCAGTGATGTGGTGTTGTTGGTCCAGGAGTGGTCCTCAGAGATGTGCACCCCCAGGAACTTGGTGCTGCTCACTCTCTCCACTACAGCACCGTCGATGGTCAGTGGTGGATGCTTTAGAGGTTTTCTCCTGAAGGTCCACAACAATCTCTTTAGTCTTCCCCACCTTGAGGGAGACATTGTTGTCCTTACACCACTGTTCCAGTTGGCACATCTCACTCCTGTAGTTGGCCTCATCATTGTTGGTAATGAGGTTAACTACAATCGTGTCATCCTCAAACTTGACAATGTGATTGGTGCTGTAGGTTGGCACACAGTCGTGGGTCAGCAGTGTGAAGAGCAATGGGCTGAGCACACACCCCTGTGGAGCCCCTGTGCTCAGCGTGATGGTCTTGGAGGTGTTGCTGCTGACCCCCATATTTTGTGGCCTCCCTGTTAGAAAGTCCAGCACCCAGTTGCAGAGAGAGGTTTTGAGTCCCAAGTGTCCAAGTTTTTGTGTAAGCTGCTGGGGAATGATTGTGTTGAATGCTGAACTGAAGACTAGAAACAGCATTCGCACATAACGGTTCTTTGAATCTAGGTGGGTGAGGGCTGGATGGAGAACAGCAGTAATGGCATCTTCTGTTGACCTATTTGACCTGTATGCAAACTGAAATGGGTCGTGAGAGGGAGCAAGGATGGACTTGATGTTCTGTAGGACCAGCCGCTCAAAGCACTTCATAATAATTGAAGTCAGTGATATAGGCCAATAGTCATTGTAACTGGTTGGGTGGGGCTTCTTTGGAATTGGAATTATTGTGGCGGCCTTGAAACACGTGGGAACAACCGCTTGGCTCAGGGAGATGTTAAAGATGTCCCCACAAACATCTTTACCTTGCATAGTCCTTTAAAACATGACCAGGTATGTTATTTGGTCCAGCTGCCTTGTGTGGGTTAATCCTGGAGAGGATCTTCTTCACGCTGGCTGTGGACAGGCATACAGCCTGTTCATCCGGGGGAGGGGTGGCCTTCTTGTGCCGGTGTGTTGTTCTGTGTTTCAAAGTGGCCAAAGAAGTCATTGACGCTGTTCAGAAGAGAGATGTCACTATCACAATTCCGAGGTGGCGGTTTATAGCCTGTGAGGGTTTGGATGCCATGCCAGAGACTCTGTGCATCTCTAGTGTTGCTGAAGTGTCCAGATATTTTCTTGTTGTATTGGCGTTTTGGCTCCCTGATTCCACAGGACAGGTTGGCTCTTACTGTTGCTAGGCCTGTGGTGCCACCGGCCCTAAAGGCTGCATCCTGAGCCCTCAAGAGTCTGTGAACCTCACCTGTCATCCATGGCGTCTGGTTGGCACGAACATTGATATTTTTGCTGTTAAGTGACATCATCAATGCATTTTGTGACGTATGCTGTGATGGTCTATGTGATGTGAGTGGATGCTTGTTTAAAAATGTCCCAGTCTATAGTGTCAAAACAGTCCTTCAGAGCATAAGAAGCCCCCTCCGGCCACACGCGTACCTCCTTTTGTGTTGGTCTGATGGCTCTCACTCTGGGTCTGTATGCAGGTCTCAGCATGATGGTGATGTGATCAGAGAGACCCAGGTGGGGGAGGGGGGAGGCTTTGTATGCTCCCTTGCATGTAGTGTACTCAAAGTCCAATGTGTTGTCTCCTCTCTTTGGAAAGTCCACATGTTGGTGCAGATTGGGCAGTAAAACCACAGTATCATGGGGTTCCTTGGGGAAACACCCTGGGATCTCTGTTCTTCCTATTAATCACTTATATTTAGTCACCTTCTATAATGTTGTTTTTAAACCTTAGATTTATAGCAGCACATTTTGTTCTCCGTCCCTTTCTTTGTGTCTTCCCAGAGTCAGATCAGACTCACTCTGAGTGTCCAGGACAAATGCTGCTCTAGCCTAGCTTAGTGCAAGGCCTTGAAGCAGAAATGGTAAAGGCTTTGAAATAACTTTTTCACTGCTTCTAACAGAACCAGTGTTTCCACTGGTAACATTTCTCTGCATCGCCGTGCTGTGACACATACACTGCTGCAATTAAGGCCAATTCAGATGGATGCGTTTTTCATGCAACAGACAGAACTCCATTCTATCAAATGTGTCACTGACACGTGTGCTACTGTTGTTGTTCAGCACATTTCTGCTGCCGGTCGGCCTGGTGAAGACCGTTTGTTCCCTGCCCTTCCAGCTCCTCAGCAGACAATGACTGACAGCTGCTCAGACGCTGAACTGTACACGTCAGGCTGTGATAACCTTGTTGAGTGAAACACCAGAGACCAGTAAACTGTTGAGGACTTAATTTATCAACCGCTAAAAAAACTTAGATTATAACTGATAATTACTGAGTGTTTGTTCTCGTCCATAGAGGGAGATTATAACTGATAATTACTGAGTGTTGTTCTCGTCCATAGAGGGAAGGGGAACATGGATTAGGGATGGAAGGTGCAGCTCAGAGGGAACATGGATTAGGGATGGAAGATGCAGCTCAAAGAGGACCCGATGAGGAGAGAGGGGGTAAGTGTTCAGGCAGAGACCCCCCACCAATACACTATGCCAAACCTCTTAATCCACAGGAAAAAGAACAGTTTGTTGATAACTTCTAGCAGGTCATTCTGTATTTAAATGTTTACAATAATGTTTTGTAGTTGATAAATATTCTAACAGGACCTTTTGTGATTAATAAAGGTTCCGGCAGGATGCTCCCCTGGGTGACTGTTGTTCTAACACAGTTTTGTTTAGCTGATAAAGGTTGTAAAAGGTCATTCTGTAGTTAATTAAGATTCGACCTGTATGTTCTGTTGCTGCTTAAAAGTTCTGGCAGGCCGTTCTGTATATAATGAAGGCTCAAGCAAAAGTTGGTTAATGGATAGGACGTCTTCTGTACAATAAAGGTGCTGTGTACGTTAAAGGTTCTGTGAGGATGTCCTGTGTACTTTAAATGTTCTGTGAGAACGTCCTGTGTATGTTAAAGGTTCTGTGAGGACATTCCCTCCTGTGTTGCAGCAGTGAAACCAGAGCTCTCTGTGTCTCTGCAGCCCAGACTGAAACTTGACCCCTGCCAAATGTCGACTGTACAAAGTGGAGGAGAAACTTTCTATTTCCAGTCAGATCTAAAACTACAGCAGAACAGAACAAATACTAAAGAGAGTGCCCACAAGTACTGTTGAATATTCTAGAGTACAGCCTGAAACAGACACTGTTTGTTATTGATTTGTGTTTTGATTGATTTAACACCAAATATCTCTTTAGCTCAGTGTGGTTCTGTCAGGCATTTGAGAACCAAATTCAGTCAATAAAGAGGTGGAACCTGAGAAATCATGAGAAACTAGAGCCACACATGAAAACTCAATTATGTTCTGTAAATGTGTAAATAAAAAGCTGCACTGGCCCTTTAAATCTGTTACAGTACAATCAAACCAGGGTAATGAAGACTGATGACACCACCTCTTTACCACAGCAGCAATGAAAGTCCTTAATGTGGAGCTGCTAATCAGTCAGCTGACAGAAGTACAGGTGTGCTCGCCCCCTTGTTTCTCACCTCTTTCTCACAAATGAACAGCTGATCTCCTCTCAGAACCACGAACCGGTTCTTCCAGATCTCTCTGAAGATGCCTTTACCGCAGAACTTTCGGATCCAGCCAACCTTATCGGGCTGAATGCTCTGTGGCACCGAGTCTAGCGGACCCTTAATGCGAAAAACAGGAAATAGTCAGCACAGGTAGAATGTTTAACCCTTTAACACAGCTTCTTAAGTCCTGAGCTGCTTCTTCAGTTTCAGTACCACAGACGCCACACCACAGCAACCTGCCCAGTGTTGGTTTGTCTCATTGCTTTTCTTTCCTCTCTCCTCTATCCACTCACCCCAACCGGTCAAGGCAGAAGGCCGCCCACCAAGAGCTGGGGTGTTGGAGGTTTCTTCCATTAAAGGGAGTTTTTCCTCCCTGCTGTCACCAAGTGCTGCTCAGGGGAGATTTGTTGGGTTTTTTCTTATAACACTGTGAGGTCTGGACCTGACTGTGTAAAATGCCCTGCGAAGACTGCTGTTGTGAATTGGAGCTATACAAATTGTATTGAGTTGATACTTTTTATTTTTACCTAATTCTCCACAGAAAGCTGTTTTTTGAGAGAGAGAGAAATGTTGGAAGGTTTGTTGCAGAGTTTGTCAGGAAAATGAACTTTTACATGTAAACTCAGGTAGAAATACCGATCATTAAAAAGTATTTTACATTTTGTATAAATAATACGAAGTATACCTAAATATATTTAAGTTAAAATGTAAAAAATAAAATAAATTAAAAATAAAATGAAATCAATACAAGTAACCTTCTCATCTCTCCGGGATTACCTCCGCCAAGGAGGTTGTTTTTACAGCCGATTGTTGGTTTGTTCACAGCATAGCTCAAAAAGTTAAGAATGGATTTAGATAAAATATTTTGGAGAAGTAGCGTATGAACCCCAGAACAGTCCATTAGGCTACAGTTTGGTGGTGATCCAGATCAGTATCTGGATCCAGGAATTGTATTTTATCTTAAATAACTTTCACACTAATAATGATATTAATGTATTTCCAAATGCCAGGGGGAGGTTTTCATGGTCAAGGAGATCATATTAAGAGGGTCACACTGTCGTGGGAATATTGATTTTTAGGTGTGATGGCATTATGGGGGACAGTGGGCTGCCTTGGTGGGGGTTTGCTGTCTATTTAATAAGCTAATAACTGTGCATGGATCACTGATCTGAGCAGAAAGCTGCTGGTGATGGTTTATTGAGTGCTTGTTACGTAAGTCCCGTTAACGCGGTGAAACCGGAGCTGCTCCGCTCACTGCTCCTCATTAAATTGTATATAATCTGTTATAAATCATGTTTTTTTCTCTTTTTTTCATCTTAGTGTTCCACATTAAAACTTTCTTATTCTGAAAAACGGAAGTAAATGTTAAGCCAGCTAACGGCTATTGTTCCCTTCAAAATAAATGCTTAAACTAATCCTTGAGGCTTTTGTTCCTCGAGCGCCGGTTTAACGTTATAAAGCCGACTGTCACGAGCCGCCGGTGTCGGTTCTGTTAACACTCACCCGTTTCCCGCAGTTGTTCTTCTTCATGGTTGCGGCTGCGAACCAGTCGCGATACTTCCACTACTTTCACGGTAACTCCGTTATTTGCCGAGGGAGGAGAAGATAACCGCGGGTTAAAATCTGTTAAAGTCCAGTAGGGAGGACCGGAGCCTCCGCCTTAGTTCCGCCGCTCCCCCGCTGTCGATCCTCGCTATGATGTGCTCGTTGCCCCTCGCCCCGCTCGTTGGGGCTCCGCTGCGCTCTGACCGGTCAGGAGCCGCTCGGTGAGTCGATGTCCGATGACTCCTCCTCCTCCTCCTCCTCCTCCTCCGGACTCCCTGCTGGCTCCTCGTGCAGCCTCACTGCGCCCCCCACTGGGTCAAACTTGCCTATATGGATAAAAGTATGTCTTAGTCTGGTTAAATTTGACACAAAAGCAGCTTCATCCCCAGTTTGGTGAGGAAGAGGTGAACCTGCACAGAACCCAGGCCTGATCCAGCCAGACCTGGACCTGGACCTCCTCTGCTGTCTGGGAGTAAATCCATGCAGTGGGTTCAGCATGTAAAGCACAGACTGGACCCAGTAGAGGGGAGGCTGTTATGTCACATTGGCTCTCCGGCCACTGTTGGACAATAAGAAGCAAAATTCCAAGTAGATAAGGTTGTTAACATCAGCTCCACCTTTGCCAGCTGCAGCATTAAAGACGATAGAGCATCAGTCAGTCTGATCCAGTAATGTCACATACATTCATGTGACATGGGCCATTCTGCAGGATGACTACTGGTACTTTGGCTACTTCAAGTGTGTTTGGATGCTGATACTTTTGTACATTTGCTAAAGTAAATGTTTGAATGCAGGACTGCACTGTACTGGTTTTTATTCTGGAACTGCCTGTCTTAAACGTTTTAATGAATGGCACTGAGATATTTTACTTTTTCTTTTTAGTCACATTTATTGTTAGTTTGCAGCTGTTTAATTAGTTTAAATAACTCTCAGCTGCAAAGATACTGTACAGATACTGTTACCACTGGTAGTAGTACTAGTAGTAATAATTCATTGGGCGTTGGTCATGTGGCACAGCTCACATCTCAACTTTAGAAGAAAATTGTCCAGAAACTAAAAGTTCAGTTTTCTAATAAATAGTCAGAAGAATGATTAATTTTCTGAATAATCAATGAATTAATTGAATGATTTCTGCCAAAAGGTGAACAATGAAAGACTGGGTTTACTGTATCAGGTCTTGTTGAGGGGGGGGGGATCTGATCTGGATTCAGATTCACTGAGCACAGATCAGGAACTGGGTCAGAGTGAGAGAGGGCTAGATCTGCAGATTATCTCTGACACGCTTTAGTAAACACAACAACAACAGAGACCAGCAGATGCATCATGCAGGTCCACAGTAAACCTGATTCAGGAGTGAGTTATTTGTTTTTTATGTATGGTGCTTGTGGTGTTCAGGGTGGATTGAAACTCACCGTAAAGCCAAGGGGAGATGCAGCGTCAACAGAGCAGTCTGTACATGAGATGCCTGGATGTTAAACATAGGTTTGATTTTGTTTGTTTAAGATGGAGACAACTAATTTGACAGGGAGGCTCTGATATTTGAGACTTGATTCCCAAAAGTGTTGTCACTGCTGCCACAGACACAGATGTGGATGTTGTGAAAATAACCAGGGGAGTTTGGTTCCTTCTGTTCAGCTGATAGGAAGTGAGACTCAGCTGCCACCTGCTGATTCAGCAGCTCAACAGCTCCTCATTAGAAGAACTAACTGGACGTCAGCTTTGTTGTCTCATCTAAATTTGTGGAAAGAAGAAATATTCCAACTAAGTTCAGCTGCAGAGTTAAATAATTACTTTCAAATTGTTGGCTTGTCTGTCACTCATGTTCTTGATTAACTGTTTGTTTAGATACATTAAAAATGTTGTATGGTCTTGTTGATGTCTTTAAATGACTTTTAGTTGACTGTGGTACTGATCAATCAATTATCAGAGCTGCTGCTGATTAACTTCCTGTTGACTGATTAATCAGCTACCTGTTTCAGCTCTTAAAGAATAACATTCCTGGTTAGTTTGCCCATGACTCAGAGATGTTTACGAGAGGAGACGTTTCAGACATACAAGCTGAAAAACCGTTTTTATACCCTGCTGCAGTTAAACTGAGCCATGACCTTTCAGTGTTGCATCGGAAGTTGTGCAGCTGAAATATACAAAAATCAAAAACACTTTACTGTAGTCGTTGTTCCTTTATCTCTTTATCCGTGGTCACCTGATCTGAGAATGATCTTCGCAACATTAACCGTGCTTCTTGGCTTTGTTTTCCTCTGCTTGTTTATTATTTCTGCAACTTGTTGTGTCGCCCTGACATGGTGAAGCTCATCAGATAACGGTGACATGGCTACAGGACAAACACATGACAGTAAATAAATGACCAGAGCAGAAGGAGCTGCAGCTCTGACAGGGGTCAGGAAGGTGCAGCAGCTGCAGAAAACCTCCTCCACTGCTCTGCTGATGGAACAGCAGGTGAGACCCACACCTGTCTGCACTCTGCATGTTTACTCTCACTGTGGGGATATAAAGCTGTCTGCTGGAGACAAAAACATGTCCTCATTAGGTAAAGCATTACATTGTAGGGTGAAGACTTGGTTTGAGGTTAGAGTAAGGTTTGGTTTGGGTCAAGCTGGATCCACACAGACATTTGACCACAGAACAAGGTCCGCTGGTTGTTTAAAGTTCAGGCCCCGAGGTGGCTAAGCTTGTGCTGTTCAGGCTCCTGGGTCAGTTTAAATCTCACTGTCTCGAGCCAGTTGTTCCAGCTGTTCTTATGTTCAGATTCACGCAGACATTTGTACTGAGTTAAAAGCACCACAGGGGGCTGTGTGGGTGGGTGGGGGTTTCATGTACCAATCACACCATGAATTATGACCCAGCTAGTGGAGGTTATCTTTAAAGCTCTTCTTTGGTTGTAACGGTCTCGTGGTAAATGGCTCCAACACAAAAAGCTTCATAAAAAATAATCTACACAACAACTTACTCAGAGTAACTTCTATTAGTATTCTTTATCTTTTCAAATTCTACTGAATATAAAGCATGTCATTGATTTTTTTTTTCAAGTTCATTGGGATCAAGACGGAACTAGAAGGATGGTGGTTCACTGAAGTCAAGCAAACTTTACTGAAACATTAGAGAATACCAAGGGACAATAAGGGAACATAAATAAAACTAAAATGAAACATCAATAAAACTTTAAGGAGACGTGTTTTAAACTGATTTTAAAGAAAGTGTATGTTGAAAGTAAAAAGACATTCAGCCCAAACTTTATTGGAATGATTAACAAATACCTTGTACCTGTACACAGGTCAAAGGTCACAGCGAAGCACTGGTCAGGCACTGTAGTGCCAGTCCAGGTCATACAAACCCTGTTCTGCAACAAACAACATTTTCTAGTTGTTTTTCTGCTTCTCTAGCTGAAAACTGACACGTCTCTTTTAATAACAGTACTGTAAATAATGCCAAATTTACTTACACAGCTATTTAATAAAGTTTTATTTTTGTGCAAATTAAGGGACAAAGAAATACAACAGCATCTTAAATTTTAAATGTTTTAACAAAAAAAACTTGTAAAGTGATGATAAAACACAACTCTTGATTTATTACATCAGGCAAATAAAGTTGTATGATTTATTTTTATTATAATCATATTATTGTGACTGCTCCCATCGTGAACTTGGGGAGGCATCTGATTGGCTCTGGGGGTGCAACAATCTGAGGTTCCTTCATTTCCTGTTTCCTTGTCAGCAGTCAGTAACCAGTTGCAGAAGCTGTTTGCAAGTTTACACTTAGCCAGCTGCTAACGGCAGTGTTTACTAAGTGGGGTTTGACTAAATTAAAACAGGTTGCACCAAACTAACTAGTTCTTACATAAAGAAATATTTACACCCACTGACAGACCAAGCTAATGCTAGCTTGCAGAAGGTTGGCGGCTTGTTTCCCATTCTCCCAACTCCACATGTCGAAGTGTCATTGGGTAAGACACTGAACCCCAAGTTGCCCCCAATGGCCAGAGCAGCGACCTGCAGGGACAGCGCCGCCATTTGTGTGTGAGTGTATGATGGCTGCCTCGGTTCTGTACCAGAAAAAATTCCTCGAGTGTAACATACTTGGCCAATAAATTAAACTAAATTAATCAGTTGTGTAGCTAATATGTAGAACAGTCAACATGTCTGACCTAAAACCTGATCAATGCTGTTTCTGTTTAGTAGTAGTAACATCACTAAAATAACAGCATAACTCACATAATGAAACATAAACCCAATAACAATTCATTATTGAGTAAATATGTCAACTAGCTTAGTGCAGTCTGTTTTTCAGACTGTGAGTATGACTAACTTTGAAACACAGACTTCTCCAGACAGAAATAAATTGAGATATTTTTGCAACCCCCGAATCCTTTGGAAAATTCTGGGAAGTTACCATGTGATGCTACAGTGACTGCCTGTTTACATAAGTCATTGCTCCTGATCGGACAGCGCTATAGATGTTTAGTAAATGACTAGTTTAAAACCTACTAGCAGTTACTGAGAACTTAGGAGGGATTTTACACACAAACTCAGTGAAGGATTAATGAAGAGCTGCTGTAGCTCAGAGGTCAGTACTTGTCCTTTAATCCGACCAGTCGGGCGCTCTCCTCCCACAGCTTTCTGGCCACCACGTCATCCTGTCCCTCTGGAGCTGCTTCCTTCTCTCCACAGTCACTGACAAACACAAATAAACCCCTTTTGTGACTTAGAAGGACATGAAGGTTCATTCAGTCCCTGGATTTGGACCCACACAAAACTCTGAAATCCAATGTAGGGCACTTTATATAGTCAGGTCTAGATGTTGCAATATCAGAGAAAACCCTACAAACCCCTCTTGAGCAGCACTTGGCAACAGTGGGGAGGAAAAGCTCCCTTTAACAGAAGAAACCTATTTGCTGTGTCTTTTTTTATGTAGGCTGTTAACTGGATATTACATGATGATAATTGAGGTATAACACTATAACACGATCTGATATTAAAGGCAGGTAACTAATCACTGGCTTCATTCAACCAACTGCTGTTTAAAAATACTGAAAATCTCCAAAATATAAGCAAACATTATCATACATTAGCACACTTTCTGCCCCCTGGATTCATGTGGGTCCTCCGATATTTGTCAGAAGGAAACCCGTCTACACTATGTCCCACAGTGTGATACAGTCTTTAAAAGACTATGTCTACATTTACTGCAATTTAAAGATCAAAACATAAGTTTGCTGAGCGGTAGAAAATGACTGAATGAACATAAATTTGCTGTAATTTAGTTTGAACCCTGTAAAATGCAGCTATGTGATAAAGAGTTAACTCTGGGTTAGCCTAGCTCCTTACTACACTGTGACTGGGTACTTTTTTATGTTCCGGAACTAAATTTAGACCCTGAATCCTTTGGTCAAAATGCAGATAGAGGAACTAAACCAAAAAACGTTTCTGTTCCCTGGTGGAAAGGAGGCTCAAGAGTACTTTCACCCCACTCCCACCTGAAGTACTGGCCAGATCGGGCCTCCAGACCTGGCATCACTGCACAGTAGACACTGGTCTGGCAGCCCTGACTGGGGGTCTTCATGAACAGCAGGGAGGGAATGATTAGCAGCATCCTCATCAGGGGGAACCAGCCATGGATGTGCCGACCCAGCTCAGTCCGGATCACACCTGGGTGGAGACAGAACGA